TTATTATTTAAATAATGTGATTATTTAAATTTGAATTTGAATTGTGAAGATAATTTAAATTTATCCTTTTGAACTTATTTGATAAGTTGTTCAATTTAGAATTCAAATTAATTTAAGTTTGACTTAAATTCAAATTTGAATTTGAATTAAAATTGGACTACAGTATAAAAGATGAATTCTCTTCCTTCATTATCCAATTTTGGCGCCACACACAGGGTTAGAAAACCCTAGAGGTGGCCGGCCACTTTAGGGATAAGTAGAGGAGTTTTTGTTGTTCCAAATTAAAATAGGAGATAGAGATTTGATTTTGTTTTGAAGCTTGACTTCTACTCTTTAAATATGAGAATGATAGAAAATTGTGAACACAATTTTGAAAGCAATTTTTTCTGCCCTAAGAGTTGGTGGCCGAATTTTCTCAAAGGAAAAAAGAGAGGAAAATTTTTTCTCCCAAAAATTCCACATCGTGCATGCGTTGATATTTGTGGAAAATTTGAGTGTTTAATCAAACCTGTTTTGTCTCACGTGTGCCCACACACATGTTTACGTGAAATCAAAGAATTGACGTGGAAGACTTTGGTTTTCTAAACACAAAGCTTGGAGCAAGGACTGTTCGTGGACAAAGAACTCAAGTTATCATCCGAGTCAGCTTTCAGGTACTTTTCCTGATTGAGTTCTTGATATATACAATTAATGTGATTAATTTATTCGTGCATAAATTAATATAATCTATAGAGTATCTCAAAAGTTTTATGAAATTTTTGTTATACACGATCCGCCTCCCTGCCACGCTTCCACATCCAAATTCGATTCAACATTATAGTGGTTCACCCTTGATTTGAGAGCTACATCTGCTGTACTGTGAGGAGGAAAGAAAATTCACTACTTTGGAAGAGAATACATGCACTAATGCTCAGAATGAGACTTAGGGATTTTCTAACTTATCACCCCTTATTTATACTCATAGTCACCGCCCATATCCTTTTCTTTTTTTGAATTTAGGATATTTTCTTTATCTGTTGGGATAATTTCCCAAAAGATAGAGATTACAATCAATCAGGACGGTCTCCTTATTTAAACTTCATATATTTGAATTACAAATAACACATCTTGGGGCAAATCTCGCAAATCTCATTTCTTACATAGCCTCGACTTCATAAACATTCACAGAAGCCTCTTCACCTTCGATTACGGGTACAATCGATTTCATGCTTACATTTGGCGTTTCTTTCTAGCGATCAACCCCTAAGAAAGTTGCCTGTTGACATGGCGTCTAAGGCTGAGCTATCCTTGATCATTTAGTGTCTCATTTAAGGCATGTGTGCCCCATCCAAGGTCTTATTTAAGGTTCGACGTTTTACCCTACAATGGTAATTACATACCAAGTATGGAGAGTACAAATAAAATAGTTTTCTAATCACATGAACCTTTTAAATTTTCATCAAAGGCAAAAGATGCTTTCAATTTTTACTCTTTTACCGAACAAAAAAAAAGTCCATTCTTCCTTCTTTAGGATAATTTCAAATTTGGCCTCCAAAAAATAGGGTTTCGCAGACAGTCTGTGCGAGCACGCGGTCAGACCGCGCGGGCACGCACAGCGTGCGGCACCAGCGCGGCCAGTGCGCGCCCAGTTCGCGCGGGCGCACAAAAAGACCGTGCGGGTGCGTATAGCGCACGGCCATCCCACGCGCGCGTGCTCGTGTTGGAAATGTGTCCAGAAAGTAGAATGTAATTTGTTATTTATGAAATGGCAAATATCGGACATCATTGTTTTTGCTGACGTTTATAAATAAAATAAAGTTATGTTTTAATTCATACTCAAGAGTGTTAGTAATATTGCTTAGTCCATAAATTGTTATCAATGAAAGAAGAGTCAGGGAATCCCTGCCGGACAAGCTCTTCTGATATAGTTTAAAATTCATATTCGCAGTCTTAGGATCGATTGGGCAATCAAATCCGATTATGACTGTTAGATCAAACCATATGATGTTGGTCTCGGGGCATAGGAGTTGGACTCTGTGGTTGATCTAGACATGTTCACAACATGTTGAATAGACCATGTAACTAATTAGGTTAGAGCAAAAACCGTTTACAGAGCTCTAAACCTAATTATTACAACTTAAGTATATTTGTATAATTATCTCAATCCTGAAGTGAATACATAACTCAACTTAATTTCTCATGGTCTTTGATTCACCAATGAGATTAGTTCATAGTTTTTGAACAACATCTCGGCTATTGGGATCATGACATAATTAAGTTGGAGTTGTGTGATTCACAGATATGGAATTCGTAAGCGATAATGTCACCTCATGCTTTATTGATGGGTGTGTGAATAAATAAACCAGGCTTGGTATTCAATGATGGTATTCATTGATTAAGACATCGTGACATGTGCGAGACATCTTACGAACATATGTCTTTCTTATTCACAGTCATATAAAGGAGTTGAGGAAACAATGACTGGAATGGTAAAATGGTAATTTTCTATACCATTCTAGTCACTGATATTTACGAAGGATAATAGTGCATTTATTCTGTGGACCGTGTGATAAATTGTATTAACATCATCAGAAAAAATAGTGCATATGAATCAAGAGATTAGTCGGCATCGAACCTTTAGTGGAGTCGTACGATGTCAGAATTAAATACATCGATAACTTATCGGGATAAATTAATCGAGTATTGTAATTCCATAGCTTTGTTCATATGGGTCCATTCGGTCTCAAGGCTAGCTCTAATAAGTGAGAAAATTGAAACTGATGTTTTATTGCACAATTGTGTTTAAATAAATTCATTATGTTATTTTTCATTTATTTGATAATTGAAAAATAAAAGGAATGTATTTGAATTTTAAAATTAATGGTGATTAATTTAAAATTCAAAATAGAATTTGAACATGATTTGATTTGGCAATAAATGGGAAGGAAAATTCAGAAATCCCTAAGGCAAGAGGGAATTCGGATTTTGATTAAAAAGAGGAAGGAAAATTCGAAAATCCCAACTAGGGTTTGAGTTTTCGAATTTCCTCTTATAAAAAGATATTATTGAAAACCCTAATGGTGGCTAAGAAAAAAAATATCTCACTCTCATTCTCTCCCAAGGGTGGCCGGATTTTGTAACAAAATTAGAAGGAAAATTGTTTTCCTTAGGTTTTTAAAAAAGAGCCCACTCTCTAATCCCAAAACACTTAGAGTCATAGTCTTGAATCAACGAGTGGTTTGTGGTGGGATCGTGTTCATAAATAAACGGTATTGTTTTACGGAAATTCTCCATCTCAGAACGTGAGATAGTGAGACAAGATCCTTGCGGCCATATTGATCCGATCGTCTTAAAGGTATGATTGTCATTTTATTCCTTTATCA